CCTCCCCCCGCCCCATCCCCGGCTGTGGGGTCGGCGCGCATGCGCGGCCCTCGGCTCGGCCTGGGCGCACCTTTTCTCCCTCCTGCCACAGTGTGAGCGCTCAACCGCGCAGATAACCGCCGGCTGCCTGCTCCACCCCCGGCCCGCGCCCACTCCGCCCACTCCCGAGCGCCCAGGTAAAGGCGTGGGCAGCGCATGCGCGTCGTTTCCGGGCGCTGGAGGGGGGGGGGCGTGGTTGACAAAAGGAAGCCTAAATGCAGAAGGTGAGGGATTTGTGGCCAGGAGTTTGGGGATCCCATCAAATAGGGAAAGATAAAAGTGAAAAGGGGGAGAAAGTGGAAAAGTGGGTCACAGTGAGATTTGGGCGTAACTGTCTCTGACTATGGAATATGTTAAAAAAAAACTTTTAAAAAAGTGCTGGCCACCTTGCTAGTGGAGTGAGTGAGTGACACAACAGGAATAAAAGCAGCGACAGACATAAGCAGTAGTCATTCTCCAGATAAATAGGATAGCTGGTAACAACTAGAGGAATTTAGAAACTGCCATTATGGTCAGCAAAACAGATGGATTGCGGCGCTTGTCCCATGGTCAGGAATAGGGAAGTGTGTGTGTGTGTATGTGTGTGTGTGTGTGTGTGTGTGTGCGTGCGTGCGTGCGTGTGTGTGTGTGTGTGTGTGTGTGTGTGCGCGCGCGCTGGAATCCCAGAACTGGTGCAAGAAAGGAAGGCTCCACTGTTAGAAGTATGACCACATTATGACTAATTAGCTATTAATCATTAATATAATTAATGGTACTATTAGCTAACAAGGTAGCATTTATCCGAGATCAGAGCCAAGAAAGTGTCTGCAGTAGAAAGTGCTAAGGATACAAGGAGAGGAAATGACTTGACAAGGGGAAGGCTCCACAGGGGAGACCCAAGGTGACATTCCTAGGTCAGGATAACCCTTTCCCATCAGAAACAAAGCTTCCTGAAGTTCTCCAAGCCTTAACTGGAACTCCTTCCATTACTTTTTTTTTTGTATTTATTTCTTGTACTTTGTGTCTTTGCATGTTTTGCCTGCATGTATGTACGTGCAACCTGTGACTGTCGGATCCCCTGGAACTGGGGTTATGGATGGTTGGAGGCTGAACCCAGGTTCTCCGTAAGAGTAACAAGTGCTCTGAACTTCTGAGCCTTCTCTCAAGCCTTCTTCCTTCTATCATTAAGCATATACATTATTAATGTTCTTCACTAAAGCTGACGTCCCCCCCACAACATGGAAACAGTTTCCATATAGATGCAGCTAACTTTTTCTCCCAGTACATCGTCTGTATCCCTGGCCCACCCAATCCTCCAGCAAATAAAATGACCTGAGTCTGGGACAACATTAAGAAAGAAATTGAAACTTTATAAATAAAGGGTCCAAGAGCTGACTCTGTCTTTGGCGCCTTCCAGAAACAGATGTTTGGAGTTTATTATACTTGGACTCCAAGCCCCAGGGATCAGAGTTTTGAAACTTTGGGCCATCGTCTTCAATAGTGAGTGCTTCCAGTGGATAAATACTAACATCTACATCATGTTTCAACAGGTGAAGAGAATGTCTTCAAGCAGAACAGAAGACAGGAAGCATACACAATAAAATGAAATTCAAGAATGAGTTCGGGGTCTAGTACACTCAGACTGTCTTCCTGGACACTTGACCCATTCTTCCACCCTCTCTGTTGGTCAGGTTGTCCTGCTTGGATGAGGGGTGTGTAGAGTGATGGCCAAAAATTGAGGTGACCTTCCAAGTGTTATGACTCTCCATCCAACTCTTTGTTTTTGTAATCACAGTTTATATTAATTCAACTTTCCATTTTAACAGTGCTTTGTGTATTTTTTTTAGAAAAATTATTACACTTTTGTTATTTGTTATGTATGTGTGTGGTTGGCCACTCCATGTGACAAAGGACAACTTATGAGAGTCAGTTCTCTCTACCATATGGTCCTCTGCATTGAACTCAGGTCCTCAGGCTTGGGGATGAGCAGTTTTACAGACTGAGCCATTTCACCTGCCTCTGTGGTTCCTACAGGGAGTTTTTATCCATTATCTCATCAGATCTTCCAACAACTGCAAGGGTAGACAGAACAGGCATTATTCACAATGAAAGAAACTTAAGCCAAGGAATGTTTTGATGGCTTAGCCAGTTACCCAATCCAGTAGACAGCAGAGCCAAACCAAGACCCAGGTTCTCTGGTTCCCACTGTGCTAGTCCCCTGGAGGATTTGATAACCCTACTCTAAAAGCTGTTACAAAGTTTTTAAAAAGAAAAGAAAAAGATTTACTGACTGGGTGGTGGTGGCACATGCCTTTAATTCTAGCACTTGGGAGGCAGAGGCAAGTGGATCTCTGTGAGTTTGAGGCCAGTGAGGTCTCCAGAGTGAGTTCCAAGACAGCCAAAACTGCACAGAGAACCCATTTCTCGAAAAAAAAATGTTTTTTATGAGCATTGGTGTTTTGCCTGTATGTACGTCTGTGTGAGGGTGTCAGATCCTCTGGAACTGGAGTTACAGATAGGTGTGAGCCATGTGGGTGCTGGGAATTAAATCCAAGTCCTCTGGAAGAATAGCCAGTGCTCTTGACTCCTGAGCCATCTCTCCAGTCCTTCACATATTCCTAATAGTGAAAGCTAGTACTTTCAACACACAGTGGAAAGAAATCCTAATTTTAGTTCTGTCTCTGTATCTTCTTTAATTTTTTCCTTCTTTCTCTCTCTTGGGCCCCAGGATTTGCCTCTAGAAACCTTTACAGACTCATGCTTTTGCAAGTGTTTGGATTCAAGTCTAGCTAACAAGATCCAGCTAGAGAGCCCAGTTCTTCTCTTCTCCTTCTACTCTTTTCCCTTCACTCATCACGGGCAGAGGATTGCCTCCCAATGCTACTAATCCTGCAAACCACAAGAAGAGCTTGGTTGCAAGCCGCCCCCCCTCCACCCAACGTTCACACTCAAGCTTGTCAGTCACTGTAGGAGACCTTCACCACATATCCATTCTGGGTTTTTTTGGTCTTGGATAACTCTTCACTAATTTTTTTCTCCACTAAGACAGTGAGCAGAAGCTGTCAGAAACCCATCCCGCTTTATGGGACAGGGTCTTATGTAACTCTCGCTGGCTCAGAAACTCTAGGTTGCCAACAGTGACCTGAACTTCTCCACCTCCCAAGTACTGTAGTTACAGATTTTCATCACCATGTCTGACTAGAGGCCTCTCCCCACTCCTTTCATGGAAACAAGGTCTCACTATGTAGTCCTGGCTGGCTTGAGATTCCCTGTAGAGACCAGGCTGACCCCAAACTCATAGAGATCCAGCTGTCTCCACCTCTGGAATGCTGGTACTAAAAGCGTGCACCACCACACCTGGTCCCGTATTAATTTTTTTAACAGCCAATTAGAATAAGGCCGTAATTTTAAGAGTCAGATGGACAGAGCTAGAACCTGATGTCCAGAGTCCAAGTCCAGGACTTCTCTGACCCCATCCTGTAGCTCTTTGCTGGATACCATACAAAGCAAATTGAACAGATCTGGTCTCTGCCCTCTGAAAGTTTGGACTCAAATGGACAGCCAGGATGCCGACAGACATAAAAGACCAAAGTGATTAACGGTCAACACATGCCAATAAATAAATGAGCTGAGTAGATAAGGAGAGGCGCTTTACCGGGTCTACTAGTATTCTATTCATTCCAGTCAGGCAAAAAGGACAGTATTAGTAAAACAAAGGCTTAGGACTAATCTCAGTCTGCCTACTCACTTTTCCCAGATGGAAAAATATTTGTAGGTGGTAGAGAGATGGCTCAGCACTTAGAAGTACTGGTCTCTCTCTTCCAGAGAACCTTGGTTTGATTCCCAGGACCCAGACAGCTTGTAATCATCTGTGACTCCGGTTCTGACCTGATGGATCTCTGCCTACCGCTCTCCTCCCAGTCAGTAACATCTTCAGCGTTACCCTCCATGCAAGGTCTATAATGATGGCCAAAGAATAAACCAATTCAATATTCATTTTAGTGTTGAAACACACAGTAAAGACACATCCTGACCTTGCTGGACAATGGTGGTGCATACCTTTAAGTCCAGCACTTGGAGGCAGAGGCAAGAGGACCTTTGTGAGCTCTAGGCCACCCTGGTGTACAGAGTGAGTTCCAGGACAGCCAAGACTACATAGAGAACAGCCGTCTTGGGGTGGGGGTGCGGGAGAGGGCGGATATATCCTTACCTCCGTCAAATGGCCAGTTCCCATAATGGAGAGGTGGACTTTTAAATTTGAGAGACTTTGTAGTCTTGCCCTAGAGCAGTGGCTCTCAACTTTCCTAATGCTGCAACTCTTTAATAAAGTTCCTCATGCTGGGGTGACCCCCAACCATAAAATTATTTCCGCTGTTACTTCAGAACTGTAATTTGGCTACTGTTATGAATCGTAATGTAAATAGCCATGTTTTCCGGTGGTCTTAGGCGGCCCCTGTGAAAGGGCCCTTGGCATCCATAGTTTGAGAAGCGCTGCTCTAGAGAAACGAGGCCACCACCTGCAATCCTTAGCTTCCTTGCGATTTAAGCTAAGCAAAGGCAGAGAGGAAGCCTGGCCTTAGGGAACTGGGCGCAACTTCCTCCTTAGGGTTTGACCTCCTGATCTGTCTATAGCTGAGGGCTCTAAGACCCTTAGGTTGCACTTGTATGAGTCTTCAAAGAGCTTCATTGACTCTATTAGGTAGTAGGGTTAATTTGTTTGTAATTGATGTGACATGTGCCTCAGAGGCATGCACTGAGGTCCAATTGAGATTTTTTTTTTAATTGGAATTAATTAATTAAAGAGGGCAGCTGAGAGGGGCTGGAATCAGTGCCAAACTCTGTAACCCTAAACCAGCCAACCCATCCAACCGGCTGTACCACCTGAGAAATGTTCTCAAGAGGAGACCCTGGAAGCAGGGCCGGAATTGGGGCTGCTAGGGAATTCTGGGCACCTCAGATTTCAAAGCCCTCGCCCGAGGCGTGATTCTTGAAGACTCTTAGGGATAACTTAGTAGCTGGAAAAAGGGAAAAAAGAAGGTCAAAGGAGACGCGTGAGATAACCAAGGGGGCTGGAAGAGCCGTGATTGGCAGAAGCTGGAGGATCCGCCTAAGAAGACCCTGTGAGCGGAGTCAGGAGGAGGAGGAGGAGCCTGGCTGTGAAGTTGTGGGGGCGGACAACACGTTGCCTGAGGGCTCAGCCTTCAGAGGTATTAATTAAACCCAGACCTGAGGTTGTTAACAGAGCTGTGGCATCTTTTCATAGGAGTTGGGTTAATAACAATAACAATAAACAATTAAGAGCCAGGAGACCTTATCTGGAGCGAGTTTTTCTTAGAGGTTATACCAGTAAGTCTTTAATTTCCCTAGCCCCTTGGGGCCACCTTTCCTAGAAAGTAAATAAGGTTTGAGGATACCAATTGTCCTCGATACCTGAGGATGCATCTGGAATCCCTAACTAGCCCTCAAGGCCTTACTTTTGCTAAGGTGGCTTTGTTTGTTTCTCAGGAATAATGCCCAGGATTTCTTTTAAGATTTCACGGGGGCTGGCTGGAGGAGACTGGAGTGGGGACTGGCTCAGCCGCTCAGAGCACTGACTGATTTTTCAGAGAACCAGGATTTGGTCCCCCCCCCCCCACACACAACAACAACTCATAGCCTCCAGCTAATTCTAGTTCCATGGTTTCTGACACCCTCTTCTGATCTCCACCGATATCAGGCACTCACGTGGCATACACACATACATGCACACGCTCCAACATTCTCACAAAATAAAAGTAAATTTAAAAATTAATAAATAAAGGATCTCATGAGCCGTTTGAGTATTTTGCATCGTTTAGTCTCTGAAAGGATACTCGGAAGAGTATGGAAATGTAGGCACCAACACCACAAGATGCCTGGACAACTTTGTTGGGAAAACCGAAGGCTGGCTGAGAGCACTAAGCAGGGCAGTCGGACAAGACCAGGACATATATGGAGTGGAGAGCTGAGAAGTGCTCCAGAGAGTGGAGGTTGGTGGGCTGCAGGGAGAGGTCTGGCTGGCACAGTCCTGAGCCCTTACCTTCAATCATGATGATAACCTAGCCAGGCATGGTGGTGCACCCCATTTAGTCCTAGCACTTGAGTGACAGAGAGGGGCAGGTGAATCCCTATGAATTCAAGACTAGCCTGCTTTACATTGTGAGTTCCAGGGCAGGTGGAGCTACACAGAGAGACTCTGTTTGGGGTGCGGGGGAGGGGGAGAAAGAAAGAAAAGACTGGGGACAGGGTAAGGCAACTAATCCACAGACCATGGAAGGAAATTTAGAGGAGGAGTTGGGGGTGATGGATCAGCAGGGGAGGAGGATGCTAGACTAGATGAGGTATCTGTAATGGATCTTTGGGGAAAAGGCTTTGAGCAAACTTTCTTGTCAGTAGAGAGACCAACCTTGTAGAGTCAAACCACAGCTGGTTACAACAGATCATATTCACCAATCTAATGCCCATCCCATAGGTGGTAAGAGTTGACTTTATCCTAGACTAGGCAATCTAATGCCTATCCCATAGGTGGTAAGGGTTGACTTTATCCTAGACTAGGCAATCTAATGCCCATCCCATA